GCCTTTTTTGATAACATTTATCATAAGTTTTGTGGCCACCGTAGTTTCTCCTATACACAGCCAGTTCTCATTCGCAGCCATGTTCAGTTGGCTGCAATCTGCAACTTCAAATCCTGGTCTTTTAAATGATTTACTGGAATAATACATGTCAGTATAAGTATTTAAAGTAACTTGAACACATATATTCTTTTATATGACACATGGATGTAAACTGCAACTTGACCGTTTGGCACAGGAATACAGTAGCAGGTGGTAATTCTACTTTTGTTTTTATAAAAGCTGTTTTACTTTTTTCAGTAAAAGCCCTTTTACTGTCAACTATTCTAATAGTCTCGGGCACCCGGTTAGCTCAGTCGGTAGAGCTGGCGACCCATATACGGAGTTGCTGCAGCGGCCCGGTTTCGAATCTGACCTGCAGCCCTTTGCTGCGTGTCATCCCCTCTCTCTCCACCCTCCTTTCCTGTCTCTCTACAGCTGTCTATCAGTAAAGCCAACAAAAGGCCCCAAAAAAAACCTAAAAAAAAAAAATATTCTAGTAGTCTTTCCATCCTCACATGTACATCTCTGCACCCACTCATCCTGCTGGTACATTAACTAAATTAATGATTTGTCATCTGTCATATGACACATTTCAATCAGTAATATGGGGCTGTGTGTGAGCAAGTCATAAAAAAGGGTTAGGGTTATTGTGCCTCCCTCTATTCTTTTCTTTGTAAAATGTTAACTTGGCACATTTGTAAAAGAGGGCTTGTCATTGTGTTCTTTCTGAGTGTAAAAGAATGTGAATATAGCAAGTGACAGTATAATAAATTAATTCAGTCGATCTAGCCTTGACAGGGATTGCATAGTCATTTGGATCAGTCCACAATGAAAATTCAATACATCACTGTTTTCCCACAGTAATCACTGTAGGACAAGAGTTCAAAATGATGTTCAAACTGAAACTGCAACTGTAGTAACAAAAGTAAAAGAACATGGATATACTGTATGCCAATTAGTCATTCGTTGGGGGAAATTCCACTTCAGTTCACAAAGAGCATGTTCTTTTTCATCATACAGCTCAGCTTAACTTAATTTGAACCAGTCTGAATGGCAGAGACACAGATTGTGAGGATGATGTCATCTAGAGACAAATCCTGGACATACTTGACGGTGAATAATGGGCCAACTGCCGGGACATGCTCATGGCTTTACATGGAGATATGGCTATATTTATGTTCAAATATAACTGATTTGGATGGAGTCAAACAAAACCTAAATGAGCACACAGAAGCACTCACCAACGCAACAGAAATGCATCAACTTTTTACTTTTGTTACTACAGTTGCATTTACTCTTCAACTCCTCCCTCAGAGTGTTAGACCGAGTCATTACCATTAAACTGGTCCATTAATTATTAATACTCTGGCTTATTCTATCACTAATACTGCAGTCCTGTAAGGATCTCAATATTTACAGTACTCTACTATAATTCATTACAATTCTGTTCTATTTCTATATATTGTCATATATTGTATTATAATGTACATACTTAGACTCTTATTATATTTGTCTATTTTCTATTTCATTTGATACGTATATACGTATATACTATTTTCTCTATAGTGTTAGATATTGTAATATAATTATTATGTCTATTCTTTATTGTTGTGTTAGCACCTTGCGCAAACTATAACAAACAAATTTCCCCCCAGGGAACAATAAAGTAAAGTACAAATATCAAGGAAAACAGTACAGTTGTAACTAGCGTTTGATCAATATGGGTTTTTCAATGGCCAATACTGAGACTGATATTTAGAGAGAAGGGCGACAGATGGCCAATATATAATGCTGATATTAAATCAAAGAGCAGGGTACAGTATGTCAGAAGCTACATCTTAGATTAGATCTGCTGTCATTGAGGAGAAAAGTGTTAACATTTAGAAAGATGATGGTGACTGACACAAAGGGGCTCACTACCATCATTCCACAACAGCCACACTGACGAGGCTGCCTGCAGACATTTTTTCTTTATTGGCCTCCTGAGCAAATGCACTGGGCTATCTGTAATTAAAACTATAAAACGCTATAAAATACAAATCAAATACATTAGAAACGCAGGTTTCGCGGCCATCACAGTGTCTCCTACATGCTTGGAAGATGAGATGCTTCACTGTTAGATTCCACCAAATTCTACACATTGATGTCTTTGAAGTTCAGGTTGTTTATTATTATTATTATCTTAATATTATTATTAAGATTTCTTAATATTTTGAGTGTTTATGAGTGTAGCTGGTCTCGCCACTACTGTGAGTTCTGTCAGCACACAATCCAACAACACAAGTTAATAATCAAGACCACTTTATTCCTTTGTCAGCCGCTGTAATGGCAGTTTTTAAGAACCTATACAACCCTTTGACCTGGTCATTGTAAAACCATACACAACTGTTAAAGAGGCTATTATATGCATATAACCTTTAGCCCTGTTTCTAACTACACTCTATGTCCAAGTAAACAGCGGGATGTTGAGACTTCACTAAGAAGCCAAGGACATGATCATCTCACCACACTATCTGTCTGTTTACTGTCCCACAACTCAGGAATGTGTAACTGTGTTACAGTGACGCTCCAACAGGGATAAAACCATACTGCTTCTGCCAATCGGGGCTCTTTCGGACTTTCACATACAAGAGTGTGTGACGGTTGCGCTGAGACCATTCATGGAAGACTTGAATAAAACCTTACAGAAAGACAAGATCATACTTTGTATGCTTTATTAAACAAATTGCCACCACAGCCGCACACACTATTAACACCAAATTTTGCCTGCTTCAAAAGTCAATGAAGGTTTGCTCCAGTCCTTTCTGTTGTGTGTGTCGGCCAACCCATGTCCAGCACACTACTGCCTTAAGAGAGGTGAGTGTGATTACTCAATGAGTACAAGCTGAGATAATCAACTCACCTGGCGCTGTTCTCACAAGCCTTCCCCACACCTCTCTCCTGCAGCTGATTGTAAACCACACCCACCTCCACATACCCCCAGCACCTGACTTAGGCCGGGAAGCCGTCCGGCCTAACCTAGTCCCTAGTCCCTAGTCAGTTCTGCGAAGTTGGGAATGAACTGCCGGTAACAACCTGTCAGCCCCAAGAAGGCCGTTTTTTCCTCAGACTCTGGAGACATGGGAATCTGCCAGTAGCCCTTGGTTAAATCCAGTGTTGTAAAAAAACGAGCAGTGTCCAACCGATCCAGGAGCTCATCAACCCGGGGCATCGGGTAAGCATCAAACTTTGACACATCATTCACCTTGCAATAGTCCCACAGAACCAAATAGACCCATCCTTCTTAATCTCCAGAACGGGTAACCGATAGGGTCGTTAACGCACTGTCACACACTGGTGAGTCTCAATGTGGTGCTGTATGATATTTGTGCGTCCTGGAAAATAGCAACGTCTGCTCTCTGGGATGGTGTGAGAGGCAGGATTTGTGGAATTTGCCCCTCCCTTGTCAGAGCGCACAACCTCATAGTCAACATCACCCACTCGCTGTGTGACCACAAAGGATCCTTGCCACTTAGTGAGTAATTTGGAGCTGGAAGAAGAGACTAATACAAGCACTTTATCTCCTGGTGCAAATTGTCTAAGTCTAGTTCCTCTGTTGTACAGGTGCTGTTGACGCTCCTGGGCTCTGAGCAAATTCCCCTGTGACAACTGTCCAAATGTGTGGAGTTTTGCTCTCAGGTCCAGGACATACTGGCTCGGACCTTCTGCCCAGCTTTCTATTACTAGGTCCAAACAAGGTCCTGTGCAAACAACAGAGGATCTAGCCACCTATCCCAATTGCGGGCGTCATCGTGCACAAATTTACGGATCATGGACTTCAAGGTTTTGTTCAGATGCTCGACAAGGCCGTCGGTCTGAAGGTGGTCCGAATTGGCCTGATGCCCAATAATCCATACAGTTCCCGAAGTGTGCGTGACATGAAAGAGGTACCCTGGTCTGTCAGGATTTCTTTTGGGATCCCAACTTGGGAGGTGACCTGAAACAGTGCCTGTGCCAAACTCTTTGCAGAGATTTTGCACTGAGGCACTGCTTCCGGATATCAAGTTGCATAATCCACCAGGACTAGTATAAAACGATATCCATGTGCACTCCGGTGAAATGGCCCGATGAGGCACACCAGCGACGTACATCTCCCTGAATGCCGGGCCTATAGAATCGCTGTATGTCCCTCCTGGACCGGGGGAGGGTGTTGATGGGCCAGCAACCCGGATCACTTGGCCGACCCCCATAAGTAGGCACTCCCTGTGGAAGTGTCCAGCCTGCCCACACCTCCAACACTCCTGCAGATGATTGTAAACCACATCCACCTCCACAATGATGAATAAAATCAATAATTCCTCATCAGTCATGCTGGGCAGGCTGCCGCCCCAGTATGATGGAAGGGGAAACACTGTGACCATTATAAAGCTGCCACATTGAGTTTTCTGTGATGAAATTGATGAGTAAACTGTTAATATTATAAACCGGAGAAATTACCAGAATGTGGAAAACCCAGGTTGTCACAAAGTGTAACTGGTAAATGGACTGTACTTATATGCGCATTTCTAGTCTTTCACTCAATGCACTGTACACCACATGCCACACTCACCCCATTCTTACACTGATGGCAGTGGCTGCCATGCAAGGGGCCAACTGCTTACCAGAACAGAACCATTCATACACACTCGTACACCAATGCACACCGAGCAATTTGGGGTTTAGTGTTTGCTCAAGGACACTTCGAACCGCCAACCTTCCGATTAGTGGACGACCCGCTCTACTTCTGAGCCACAGCCGCCCACGACTGAACTGTGTACAGCAAAACAATGTAGACACATCGTTCAACAAATGTTAACAAAGCAACCACTTACACATCTCATGAGCTTCAGGCTAATGTTATGTTGTTTTTCTACCTCCTCCTGTCCCTGTTTCTGAAGTGTATTTTGAGTCCCTAAATTATCCTCTCTGCTATCTCTGTGCAGCTACTCAGTGAAAAGATCAGTGGGGCAGAGGGGACCAAGCTGGATGATGACTTCATGGAGATGGAGAGGGTGAGTTGAGTCCAGTTGTCTGCTCAGTGGTAAATATGGTCTCATGATGGATGCATATTGTTACACTTGGTAGTAGTACAGGCAGGAGACAATGAGTCAGCTGATTAACTGCCTGTCAGGCAGGGGAATGTTGGTGATGGTCATCGATTTCCCATACCCTCTGAATTCTGCTGTCACCAAAGAGGGAAAGATCACAGTTACTTTTGGTGTTTGGTTTACAATGATATGCTCTCTTCCCGAGAGTGAAATGAGACATCAATCTCATGTCTGTGTGAAGTGGGGCTGCCTCTTAAACATCAACAACATATTTGAATCATCAGTTGAGAAGCCCCTGAGTCAAAGCTCATTTTGTCAGTTTGTCATTGTACACAGACAAAGTCAGGATAATGGCAGGCTGTACACTTTATATTGTATTAAAATCACCTGACTGCAAAATGAACTGATGCTAATAGAGAGGGCTGATGGAAACAGAGCGCAGCTTACAATATACACCAATCAGCCATAATATTATGGGCACCTGGGAACCCTGGTGGTCAGAATATTCTGCAGCCCCATACCAACAAACTGCTCTGCACTGTGTGTTCTGACACCTTTCTATCAGAACCAGCATTAACTGTTTCTGCAGTTTGAGCTCCAGTAGCTCGTCTGTTGGATCGGACCACACGGGCCAGCCTTCACTCCCCACGTGCATCAGTGAGCCTTCACTGTTTTTCCTTCCATGGAGCACTTTTGATAGGTATTGACCACTGCAGACCCGGAACACTCCACAAGAGCTGCAGGTTTGGAGATGCTATAACCCAGTCGTCAAAGTCAAAGTAGCTCATATCCTCAAGCTGCCCATTTTTCCTGCTTCTAACACATCAACTTTAAGAACAAAATGTTCACTTGCTGCCTGATATATCCCACCCACTGACAGGAGCCATGATAACCAGATAATCAGTGTTATTCACTTCACCTGTTAGTGCTGACAATGTTATGGCTGATCGGTGTATAGGTTTTCTGCTGAGTGCTAGCAAAGTCAGATTTATGATGCACTAGGATTTCATGAGTAAGCTATGAACACTTTTTATTTTTCTGACTGTGTGGAAATACAGGGTGTTTGCTGGGTTAAAATGTCTTAAACAGGCTTTTGACAAGTCTTAAAATGTCTTAAACAGGCTTTTGACAAGTCTTAAAAATTGATTGGATTATGTACAAAGTAACATTTTCAGTCTAGCTTTTATGTGGCTTTTTTGGGGGGAATAAATGTATCGATCATGCTGTCCAGTGTGGATGTGAAATAGGAAATTGTATTATTCATATTGGTGACAAAAAATTACATTTAATCTGTTGAAACCTCCAGAAACCCAAAAATATGATGTTGTCACATCGCAGATGATTATGAAAGGCGCTAGAACCAAACTAGTAAAATTTAGAGACTTGACTTAAATGCAACCAAAATAATAATATTAATTATTATCAGCAGTGGATGTATTGATTTATTTTTATTGATTTATTAGTACAACTATTCCACCATTTCACTATTTACCATTTATTCCAGTGGCACACTCCAGCCTCTATATTGAAGTTAAACAGTGTTGATCGCACTGTTTTTTATCAGTCGTAATTATCTTCATTCACATTTTGTTCAAAATATTGTGATATTTAACCACGAGCCCACCTTGGACAACTGAATCATTAACTGACTGAATGTTTCAAATATCCATTAGGACAGAAAATATATTCACACATTAATTGCAATATCTCTCTTTTTTTCTACCTTGTCTTGTTCCTATCAGAAAATTGAGGTGACCAACAAGTCAGTGTTTGACCTCTTGTCCAAAACAACAGAATACCTCCAGCCTAACCCAGGTAAAAAGAAAAGAGCATATGTTATTTTGTTAAATATTTAGCTGTTCTGAATCCAGTTTGTGTTGTATTCATTGTTGTCCTCTGTAGCTTCTCGAGCCAAACTGAACATGCTGAATACAGTGTCTAAGATCCGAGGGCAGGTGAAGACCACTGGCTACCCTCAGACCGAAGGCCTGCTGGGAGACTGCATGCTGCGCTACGGCCTCGAACTGGGAGAGGACTCTGTCTTTGGTACCAAATCTCATATTCATATTCCAGAAAATAGTGGAGTTGCCGCGACATCATGGCAGCTTACATATTGGCCCTCAGTATTTAGAAATAAAGTGAATTTGTATGTTTCACTCTGCTTGCATTTCCAAAACAGCACAGTTAAAAGCACAAAATGAGGTCCATGCCAATACGCTCAAATGGAACCTCAATGAGTGGTAATGGACGCAAAGGCACTCTTGGGATGGCCGGTTGGTTAACCAACTGACATACGGGACAAGATGCACACCCCCTACACAAGTAACGTTAGCAATAACAAAGAATATAGTAGTAGCATAGATTAAATTCTTGCTGTGATTTGTGCAGTTTAAAAATTCCTGTGTGATCTTGTGAGTCCAGCTACCTCTGGAAGTTAGTTCTGTCCATTCACAAAACCACATAAACATAATGTCAGAAACAATCAGCCAAAAAAATATACCCCTTCTTCCCCTTGCACACCCTGGATGACACATGGGTAAAATAGAATAAATATATATGAAAAAAGTAAATTTACCAAAAAGAGTTAAAGATGTCAAAAAAACAAAAACTGCCACAGGAAAACAATACAGACCATATATTGGTAATGGTATGAACTGTATATAGTCACAGACAAAGTCAAAGTTACTTTAACTTTCTCCAGGGCCCTAGACAGGGTATCAGTTGTATTTCCCTTCAAACCTCTGATTCGAGCTATAGAAAGTTTCAGAGAGATGATATTTACTAATGATAATTCATTGGGAGATCCGGAGTTCATCCACCTTAATACGTTAATGTAGTTTGTTTTAATTTGCTGTTGATTCAAGCTCAAAATCTACACGAATCCAGCGATCGGTTAGTGAGTTCTGCCATCTAGTTGTGCCACCGCTGTTACTGCGGTGGCATATCATAGAACTGTGTGCCTCTGCCTGCACAGTGACAGCAGCGTGGGTAGCTGGACTGACGATGTTGGGCAGTGGCCTCCAAATACTGATTAAGGTAGCGTATATGGATGGAGATCTCAGCTTTACTCAAATTTGACATATTAGTGAAACATTTGTTATGACAGTAGCCAGAAATAGAGAAAAAACTGATCATTTGACCATCCACCACACTTCAAATGATGTACTGTGTAAAACTATTCCACTAGCTAGCTACTGTAGCATAATCAATCAAGAGTTATATTAGTAAAGAATATCTAACACATTCATTTTGTTGAAGTTTGCCAGCATTGTTGGAGCAGCTGATTCTGCACAGCTTCTTCCTTATTTCCTAGACATCGTTCTAAAAGTAACGTTACAGAAAAGTAAACAATGTACACTTCTTAATACAGCTTGCATTCAAACGCGTGCATACTGTAGGGAGACGCCACCGCAGTAATAGCCACTTGTTTACTTCCTCTACTTTCCTGTATTCGTCAGTACAACGGAATCACATCACACTCCGCTGCTTTAACAGAAAACTTGTTTTTATTAACTCCAATGTCTTAGTTTTTCACTTGCTGTTAAGCTACTGTCAATGGAACTCAAGTGTTCTGCTCAGATGTTTTGTATTAAAAGCCTTTTAGCGACTCAGCGGTGACTCAGTGGCTCCAGGATCAATGCTTTGGTGATCAGTTTAATGTGAGCTTCACTCAGAGACAGCTGATAGAGGAGCCAATTGATGGCTTTGGATGGAAAATACATCATGTTGGTATGCTTATACATTTTCTTAGTTTTGAATCATGTCAATCCCCCTATGTAATGAAGGTTCTGAAATATTTTAACAAGTGAATATTTTAAGCCTAAGTGATTAAAGGGGCAGATGAGATATTTATAGATGAAATATTATTGGATTTAAAAATGTAGTATTTGAAACCAACACTCACAGACACACAGCATGCTTCATGGTGCACGTCATTAAATGATTTGCGTGTAACAGTGTGGTTTGTCTGTCTGTCCTGCAGGCCATGCTCTGGTGGATATGGGTGAGGCCATGAGGCAGATGGCAGATGTGAAGGACTCCCTGGACATAAACGTCAAACAAAACTTTATTGACCCCCTGCAGAACCTACAGGACAAGGACCTCAAAGAGATCACGGTACATTACAGCAGCATATACCCATAACTAAACCTACACATATGGTTTTTATGCCTCTGCACTTGCGATAGCCGTGTCTCCGTCCGTCTTATTCTGGTGAATGTGATATCTCAGGAACACGTTGAGGGAATTTATTCAGATTCGGCTCAAACATCCTCTTGGACTCTAGGATGAACTGATTTAATTTTAGAGGTCAAAGGTTAAAGTTCAAGGTTTTGTGTTACCTCATAGCTCAAGAACGCTGCAGGGAATTTCTTCAAACTTGGCACCAACGTCCACTTTGCCAAGGTCATGGTGACACGTTTATGACCATAACTCAATAACTGATGTGGTAATCATGACACAATTTCACACAGATGTTTAATGAGACACAACAAAGAAGTGATGACAATTTTGTCTCCAAAAGGTCAAAAGTCAACTTCACTGAATTCCAGTTCAGTTCAGTCATTTATTGTCCCAGATGGTAAACTTATCTTGCAGTACAGTACAGTGCCAGTATATTGGGTCGCACCAGTAGTTATCCTGTGAGTGAGTTTCACCTACAGCTCACAGAGAGGATTCACATCTAAAAATGCCAAACGAAAACCAAAGCTCCACATTTAGTATAGCTATACTCCATAAGGGGTGCCCGGTTAGCTCAGTGGGTAGCCCATGTCCCATGTACCGAGTCTTTGCTGCAGTGGCCCAGGGTTCGAATCTGACCTGTGACCCTTTGCTGCATGTCATCCCCTCTCTCTACCCCCCTTTCCTGTCTGTCTTCAGCTGTTACTATAATAAAGGCAATAAAAGCCCCCCCAAAATGTTATACTCCATAAGAATCAATCTGTAATAATGTTTAGTATATGTGTAATGTATAATTAGTGGAATCATACATATGTATCATCAATGTAGTGAAAACTTCCATTTAACCCCAAAATACACTTACCTTTTATTAAATCTCTTCCAACCACATACATAATTAGTCTGAAAAGACATGGATGTAAACTGCAATGTGACTGTTTGGCTGAGGAACTGCAGGGTGGTAATTCTAGTTGAATTTATGATTGGTAGGGTCAGACACACCGTGTGTAGTAGTAGTATGAGAGACTATTGATTTTGTTCCATAGTTCAAAACCTCGCCCTCAAGTTCTAATAATGCTGGCAGCATGTGCAACAGATGGGGAAACGTGATGACACAAGATTTGTAAAGCACATTATCTGCTATTATGTCAGTGTAAACGTGCATCATCTTGAATGTTACCATCGTTTTATCTACAATCATCATCAGTGCAGTATGTTTTAGGTTGCTGCCTCACCTGTATTTCACTTAATTGCTCTTGGTTTCCTTCTACCACTGGTATCAAGGACATGAACTGCTCACTGAGCCAGCCAGAAAATATGTAAATGTTATATCTAAATAAAATCATACATTTATAGCTGCTAGGGGCAGTCAATCTCTTACTGAAGCCAGTCCAGAGAAGAGAGAAAACAGCTTTTCCATGGAGAAAAGCCTTCAGTGTCGTTCTTTGCGCTTCTTTCAATGAAGGAATACTCTCCAGCTCTGATAGAACCATTATTGTGGGTCACACCTAGTGCCCACCCTGCAGCTACCAGTACTGTACTGTACTGTACTGTACCTGCCACAAGCACATAGCTTAAAGCCTGGCAAGATGGATTCTCGTGTGAACTTGTGAGTCCAGCTGCCTCTGGAAGTTAGTTCACTCCATTCACAAAACCACATAAACATAATGCCAGTGTCAGGATAAAATACCATTATTCTTTTTCGGTGACAAACACCAATAATATGAATTTGGATTTTGTGTGATGAAAATGCATACAATGCTATGTAATCAATTTTTTGCACAGAGGTCAGAATTTCCCTTGAGTTTGTATTGTTACTATTATTATTATGTCAATCTGTAAGTTTATACCAATACATACAGGTCATACAGTACAGTGTTTTTGCATAAGACAAGTCTTCAGACTTGTGTTGTGAAAAAAAGATACATTATATTGACATGTTCCTGTGTGTTTGCAGCACCACCTGAAGAAGCTGGAGGGCCGTCGATTAGACTTTGACTATAAGAAGAAGCGTCAGGGGAAGATCCCAGACGAGGAGATCAGGCAGGCTGTGGAAAAGTTCGAGGAGAGCAAAGAGCTGGCCGAGAGGAGCATGTTCAACTTCCTGGAGAATGATGTAAGAGAGGATAGAACTTCTACAATAACAAATGCACCATAGGGAGTATTGAGTAAGCTTCTGGTGAAGGGCCTGCTGAAGCCGAGTGTACCGAATAGTAGCCAACGAGTTTGTGCACTTGATCTTGCTTCGTGTCTGTGGTGCCTCCGCTTTGCTGCCTCACTTGGGTGGCAGGCTACCATTAGCAAGTTAGTTTGCAGATTGCAGATCTGTTGTCTGTTTTATATAAAGTCGTCAGTGATGTCTGTTGTCTGATTGTCCATTGGTAAATGGACCTGTACTTGTATAGCACCTTTCTAGTCTTCCGACCACTCAAAGCGCTTTTACACTATGTGCCACATTCACCCTTTCACACACATTCACTCAGTGATGGCAAAGCCCATCAAACAGAAACTACAATTCATACACACTCACACACCAGTTCAGTATCTTGCTCAGGGATACTTCAACATGTGGCACCAGGAGCCGGGGATCGGACCCACAACCTTCCGATTAAGGAACGACCCGCTCTGCCTCTGAGCCACAGCCGCCCCATGGTCCATGCTTTGCTCACTGGGGTCTTCCATTTTTGTAGTAAACAACATAACATTACTAGCTTAGCTTACTGACAGGTCAAAGGGGCATGCCATCGGTCAAGCTGATAGTGGAGCACCCTCTGCTGGATCAGAAGGTGAACTACTTTTCAAAAAGGTCATAACACTTCAAAAATGAACCACATTCCAATTAATTTTCTAATAAAGAGTGTCAGCCCTGTGAGGAACTGTTGACTGTGGACAGGTCAATGTCAGCTGGGATCTGCGGCAGCCCCCTGCGACCCTGCAAAGGATCAGCAGTTACAGATAATGAAAGTGTAGGAAGCTTCATAAGTAGTCCTACTCTGGGGCATTAGTGTCTTTAGTTCTATAGTATACTGTGAAACACTTCATACATTTCAGGCCCTGATTACCTCATACCCAACATACCATGTTCATCAAGTTTATCTGCTGCAACTATGGCAAGAAAGATGTAATTGTGTAATTTGTATACTATAAAAGATCATTTGAAGGCACATTATATTTTTTCTACAGTTGTTCCTCCAGATTTCTGCACTTCAGTTCAATTCAAATGGCTTTATTGGCATGACGTAACACTGTACATAACAAATGTATTATCTGAGGTAGATATGTAGAAAATGTAAAGTTTTAAAGTTTTATACCAACACATGACCAGACAGGCATAGATATAGTTTTACACTGTACTGACATTCAGTATATACAAAGTCAAATCATTACTATTAATGGTGTTTTTTTTTATTGAATTTCTGCTCATCATAATCATTACAGTGTTTTTTAAATGAGTTATGTCACTTTGCTGGAGGGTAATTAATTAGTGTGTGTGTGTGTGTGTGTGTGTGTGTGTGTGTGTGTGTGTGTGTGTGTGTGTGTGTGTGTGTGTGTGTGTGTGTGTGTGTGTGTGTTTGTGTTTGTGTTTGTGTGTGTATTTGTGTGTTGCATGCATTGGGTTGTGGCCAATAGGTGGAGCAGGTGAGCCAGCTGTCGGCACTGATTGAGGCGGCAGTAGAGTACCACCGACAGTCGTGTGAAATTCTGGAGGAGCTCAGCAAAAAGCTCCAGAAGACGTAAGCAGTGTGCTGGCTTCACTTTGCTGCCAGTATTTACTTCACAGTGTTCATCCTCCGTGAGGGAATCACAGCCTCATTCTGGTTCTGCCGTTCAAAAAGTCATTTCACATAGAAAGCAGGTCTTTGAGCCGTACGTTACGAAATTAAAGTGTCTGTGTACTTGAATGTGGTACAGCTTCATGGCATGTGACCTGCATGGCATTTTGGAGGAATATTGGAGGCACACTGACATCCACACTAGGTTTAGTGATTTTAACATACTTTACATTCCTTTGCTCTTTTCTCTTCTTATTGAATTTAAGCAAAATCATGAAATGAAACAATCTTAAAAAACATCAACATTGGTCAGCAAAGTTACAGTTGACTCTAGGGATGGAGCCGTTCATGGGTCGGGGCATGTATGTATTGTTAGGTTAATTTGAATTAGACTACGAGTATTGGGGGGGAACAAGCCTTGCGTCAATAACTCAGTGAAACTCAGTGTAGAGTGCATCTGTCGGACAGAGTAGCGTACAGTTAGAGGATCCGCCAACATTGTTTGGTCTGCTCTAAGTCAGTATTGTACAGTTGTAGTTATAAATTATCAATAAATTAGTCAAGCATCACCCTGCTACCTTTTCATCCCAGGATATCCACAGCCAGCAGCCGGCCCAAGAGGGAATTCAAACCAACGTCCATCAGGAGCAGCATGGAGACCCTGGACAACAGTCAGCACAACGGCCTCTCCTACAGCTCCTCGCTCAAATCTACCGGTACAGCTGCCACATATCTGTCTTTATTTGATCTGTCTTTCTGCTTTCTTTTCTGTCAGTTTCTCTGTCAGTCCCATCTTCATTATTTGCTTTCAGTTGTAGTTTACACTTTGTTTCTGTTATCCCTTACAGATATCCAGATCAGCCACACAGTCAATGGGAAAAGTAGGTATTCCTTTTATACAGTGTTCACATGTAACGTTTTCATCCTTTAGGTTGGGTTACAATATGTGTGCTCCCCTCCACCTGGAAATAATGTCTCTCATATCCAGATGTGGCTCGATCACATGTAAACCAACTGTTTCTCCTCCCTCACCAAATGCAGATTACCATGTCCACTGTTTTAGAATAGTTCCATCTTTGGAAACTGAACATTTCATCTGTTCCACATTCAGTTCCACACCTGATCTTAGTTTTCTGCAACAAAAGATCACATCTAGACTCAACAACAACAATCATTTTAATAGTTAAAAAATACTTCAAGTGGAAAAAAGGTAAGTCTGTCTGTTGATAAAGGATCCAGTCTGTAATTTTCAAGCCCCGTACACGATGTGATTATTACACGGTACCATACGATTACTGTATGATGCGATTATGATACGGTACAATGTGATTATTATACAATATGATTACGGTATGATTTGAGCTACCGCTGTTGTGCTCTCATGTGGCAGTTTTGTGATTCATTATATTTATTTTTTTGCTGATGCATTTTTGACTACCTTTTTAAGTGGATTCAGTGCTCACATGTGGTTGAAAAGGAGAATGTGGCAGTATACCGGTCAAAGTCAGACACAACTACTCTACTTGAAGTATGGAGGGATGCGCTGTAGATTCAAAGGCCACATTCGGGATGATTTCTTCATCATATACGCAGTGTGTGCATTGTTTTGTGTTATCTTGTGCTCAACACCATCTCATTTGTCTTTACATCTCACCCAGCTGATCATATATCCTCTGTTCCACTGTCATGGCCTGAGAGCCCCACTACAAATGGCAATATTCACCGTGAGTAACACACACCTCTGAATTCACGTCTGTGTACATCCGTTCTGAAAAGCGTAATTGACAGAAAGTTAACAGAAAGAAAGTTAAGTTAATTTTTATGATGAATGAATCTTGTATTAAGAAACAATAACAGCTGGATTCATATGAATCATATATCATACAAGGTACAAGGTCATTTATTTTGTCATTATACAACCAAGGTAGCACAATGAAAAGAAAGTTGTTACCCATTAATTCTACACACACATAGAACATAACAGATGATTAAGTTAAATTCAAATTCAAATTATACATAGTTGGGAACATAATATTTTAAAAAATAGAAAAAAATGCAGGTTGGGCAGTTTAAATGTAGTGTGAGGTTCATCCATGATCTTAGAAACTGTAGTGTGACTCAAGGTAAACTTACTGTCATTTTCTAGAACTTTAAACTGCATCTCAAGGTCTTTATCTGCAGATGGAGTTTGCTCAGTTTTCATGGAGATGGCTCAGTATTAGTACTCAAGGTCCACTAACAAGCTTTCAACTGTCTCATGGTTTTCATCAGTAGATGGAGTTGCTCAAGAGATGCCACAAACACATCTTTAAAAAGTCTTAGTTAAAATTAAAATGAACTTAAAGTCCACTTATTAGCTTTTTTCACCACACCTCACAATTTGCATCAGCAGATGGATTTGCTCGGTTGTCATGGAGATGGCTCAGTGTAAGAACTGAGTATTAGCAACTGAGTAAACCCCATTCACTCAAGGTCATCTTCCTACCTTTCTTTTGAACTTTCAACTATATCTCTTTGTCCTGATCAGTTGATGTTTTCTCAGTTTTCATGGAGAGGGCTGACATATGAGCAAACCCCATCCACTCAAGGTCCACATACTAGCTTTCTTTTGAGCTTTCAGTTGTATCTCATGGTCTTCATCAGTAGATGGAGTTGGCTTAGTATTAGTACTGAGTACTGACAAATGAGCAAACCACATCGACTCAAGGTCCACTACTAGCTTTCTTCTGAGCTTTCAACTGTATCTCATGGTCTTCATCTGTCTTAAGGTCCACTTACGAGCTTTTTAACCACATCTCACGATCTTCACCAGCAGATGGACTTTGTACAGTTGTCAAGGAGATGGCTCAGTATTAATGCTGTGTATTGACAACTGAGCACCGCCATTGAATCAAGGTTGTCTTATTAGCTTTTTGAGACTTTCAACCACATCTCAATCGATAAATGAAAAATGACTTGATAATGTAAGTGATCATTAGTTGCGGCTTTGGTGTAAACTGTACACTTCAGGTAAGGTAGGAAAGAAACCATTTCTTGTCATTAATTTGCAATCATTTTACAATCTGTTCCTGTGGTGCAGAGTCAGAGGTTTTGGACCAGCCATGCTGTCGCTCCCTCTACGACTTTGAGCCAGAGAACGAGGGAGAGCTGGGCTTCAAGGAGGGCGACATCATCATCCTCACCAACCAGATAGACGAGAACTGGTACGAGGGCATGATCAATGGTGAGTCCGGCTTTTTCCCCATCAACTATGTGGAGGTCATCGTCCCCCTGCCTCAGTGAAGACCGGCACCTCGAGTCCTCTGCGGACTCCCTCCTGCCTCATCACACTCAGCCTCTGTCCTCAGCTCGACTCTGGACTCACCTGGAAACACACAGGGGCCAGCTCACCCCGAAGCTGAACAAAAATGTCTGTCTTCTGATTTTTAAACCGAGCCAGAGAGGTAGTAGATTTGTCTCAAGCCAACTTAAGATCAAAGTCACTGTTGTTTTCTCTGTTAATATTTATGAACCTGAAGCCAACTGACCCAACCCAAGCCATTAAATGGGACACTTCCTGATTGGTCTGACCAAGGTGAAAAAGTCATCAAACTCCATCCCGTCAGTACTTCAGTTGACGCTGCTCCCTGTTTATCCAAGTTTCTCTTGTTGAGCTGTCTGCCTGTTTTTGCCCACTCATCACAAACTGAGGCTCCTCAACTCTGCTAGAAGTGGACATCTTGACTGCATTGTTAGTCACTACAAAGAATTTCTATACTTTTATTTGCAATATCGTCACAATAGGAACATTTCAGGATATTTTCAATCCCATTACATTGTCATATAGTTACGCCAAAAATGAAAAAGGCTTTGTATTTGCACCACAAATCCCTTTATATGATTGCCTGAACTGTCATGGAGCTCTGGATTGTGACTACATACAAGCAAGCTAAGAAGCTAACATAATCCAAGTAGAAACATGAATCAGCTTGATGTTTAAGAGCTGTTCACCCAAATATTATCAAGACATGCACATAGTTCTGGTTTTATTTGTCCAAGTTTTGAGATATTTGTCTGTGAGGTTTTTGGCTCCACCCTAATACAATGGGGATGAATGGGATTTCATTCGTGGCTCTCACAGGATTAAATAGAAATTAAAAAATTCAAGATGTGGCTAACAAAATATGGTTTGTTTTAATTTGGGTGAACTGACCCTTTGATGGCCAGCTTGTATGTTTAAGAAAAACAACATGGCTGCCACAGCCTTGTATTCCTCTGGTTTTGCTTTATATTTAAAAAAAAAAAAGTATCTTGTGTTTAGAGAATAAAACAAAAGTCTCACTTTTTTGTATATGGCGCTTTGTGAAGCCTTCAAGTCAAGTCTTGCCAAAGTTCAAGGATAATTCCAGTTTATTCCAGCTTTGTTCTTCTCGTAGTTTTGGCCATCATTTAAATCAGTAGTTATTACAATGTACTCTGTAAGTTTAGATTGGGAACAGGGTGTCATTGCTTAAAAGAAGCACCGCAGCAGACAATATTTTAATACCAACAGTGGGTCAGGCCTGTACACCAAACAGCAGACAGACAGCGTTAGAAGACATAAAGTTATAATATGTCATAATACATGTGTCATAAGCAGTTTGTTGTGGTGTTCTACCCCGTAGTAGCCAAATACAAACTGTTTCTGCTTTAGACAAACCTCCAGGTTAAAGAGAGAAAATTAAGTGAAAAGGTAAAAAGTTAATACCCAAACTGTCTGTTGTGAACATCCATCACTGTTCACAACTTCCTGATTTATCTTTGACCTGCCGACCATGGCATAGACGTGAACACTGTTCTGGTGCAATCAAGAATTGTTATGAATGTCTCAGGCGTGCTCACTTTCAAAGACGTTGTTTAGATTACTGCTTCCCAACTCTCATTTATCTGAAAAAAACAAATTATATTTAAAGTTTAGATTATTATTTAAAATCTAATCTTTGAACGTTTCCAATGCGGGATCAGAGTAAACAGTGAACAACTGTTATTGTGATGCATTGAATATAATATGAAATATACATAAAATATGTCACTGAGTCAGTTTACTTAATGATAGGAAAGGGCTCCCTTAAGGAAAATGTTGGGAATCACTGCATTAGATAATCTGTTTATGCCCTTTGGGATTGTCTGACTGCTTGTGTTTCTAACCTGTCAGCCACTTTGCTGAGTACAATGCTCTCAAAACTGATGGAAATGATGGCCAAAATTCCTAAAACAACGGCCAAGCTGTTATAAACCAGAATCATCATTTAAAATGTGAAATCAAACCTTTGATCGATGTAGGCTTTAGCTCGACGGCGCTCTGCACAAACATTCCATCGCTATTTATTTTAGACACACTTTTATTTTGTGAACATTTCAAGCCACGGCTCTTGAACAGCAATCACACCACTAAAAGTCAGCCTCACATTCCACTGGGATAGTGCTAGACAGTATGTGACGTGTGTTACTTGTTTGTTCAGGTCGGCCCGTCCTGTGTCGTAACTCTGTACCTTCCTGTTGACGTCCTCTCTCCTCTTGCCTGTTTGCCTGCTGTGCTCTAAAGTGTATCAGAACACGACAATGTTTCGATTGTGAGGATCTCTCTCTCTCTCTCTCTCTCTCTCTCTCTCTCTCTCTCTCTCTCTCTCTCTCTCTCTCTCTCTCTCTCTCTCTCTCTCTCTCTCTCTCTGTTTACATGCTCTGACTTATTGTGACATAATATATGGACCGTACCGCCCGCTCTGTGTCAAAATAGGGATGAATGCCTTGTCACACTGAAATCATATGAAAGTGCTTTTTGAAATGTCTGTATTGCACTGAAGCTTTAGAAACTACCTACTGTACCATATGCGTTTATGGATACGCACCTTTTTTGTTTGTTGATGTTTTTTTTTTTCTTCAGCGTTGCACTTTGTGTTATTCACAACGGGGTTAGAATCACTACCATATCAGATATATACGTGAAGTCAAAATGAAAAAATACTTAGATTTATATAACCACAGATGTTCTTTGTACTGTGCTATGTTGAATCCACTCTCTCAATTATTGTAACGTAGACTGGAAATATGGTTGTGTCACATCTTAAATGGGATGAGTCTGTGGAAGTAGATGATCCTTGTTCCAGCTCTTTGGTTAGCTAGCGATAAGCCATAGGATAAGTAAAGGCCTGCAGTTACTGTGTGGTTGTGCTGATAGACCTGTTCATTTAGCGCGAGTCAGTAAAACACCTCAACAGCCTGATAAGCAGCTGTCTCCTGACAGTGGATGTTCAGTGAAATGCTGCCAGACAAAAGGGTGCAAGAGGTCAATCACAGTAAATTCTCTGAGAGGCCTTTATTTCCCTCAACTGCAAAGAAAATCAGGCTTTTATTTTAAACTTGATTTGTAATGGCCCCTTGTTTTATAGGTTTATTTGATCATGTTTTAATAAGAGGACTCAATGTTTTCTGATCAGCTCCTGGCTTTTAACATGCTGTTGATACAAACTCAACTAGTTCAAATTCATGATACATTTCCACAGAACCAATTCCAACAGATTCGTGTCATACTCACCACTCTGCTGCTCTGATATAAATATGGTTTCCTTTCATTCATTGCATTCCTAATCCACGTTATTTTCTTTCATCTTTTATCGTATGTGGACCAACTTTATACAGAATAGAGAGAAAATAAAGAAAATGTATTGGCTAGTTACTGTTAGCTTGCAGTTGCTTAGGTGTCATGTTGCATGATGATTCTTTCTCCTTTTTTTTTTTTTTTTCACAAAGATTGTTATTATGGATGTTGGATACTGGGGAGCTCTTAGCACAGGGTGCTATCTGCAACACAGTCAAAATACATTACAGAAAGGAATGTCCATCAGGAGGTTAAATCCTGTATTCAGTACAAGTGAAAACAACAACTGTTCTAAATGCAGTCAATCATGAAACAAGTGGACATATTTAAGATTGAATGCAGGATAACTCTTTTAAACTATAATTTTTTGCAGTTAGCCCCACAGTATAAATGACTGTTTGATACACTAAAACAAGATCTCTCTCAACAATGTACCTCTGTTTGCCTTTGCAGTCCACAAAAGTCTCTCCTCAGTATTCATTTTACAACTTCTAGGCAAAGGAAACTAGCTGCGCAGTCCTGTATTTAATTTTTTCAGTAGCATAATTTATGCAAAAGGTGTTTTATAGATGTTGTAAATGAATATATGAATAAATATATTGCGTAAATAAATGACAAGGAAATATCAAGCCACCATTCACGTGTGCGTTGTTTGTGTGCATCTTGATCTGTGAGTTACACTGTACGGCCAATATAATGTGTGTACTTTTGTTATGTGGCTGTTTTTCCAATGAAGGGAATTTTTAATGTTACAGCACACAACAATATTTCAAACAACAGTGTGCTGCCAACTTTGTGTCAACAGCTTAGCTACAGCCCCTTTCATGTTTTAACCTGACCGTGTTCCCCCTGCACAAAGCCAGCTCCGGAGAAATGGTTTCCCAGTTTGCTGTGGAAGAGCTGCCAACTGTGAGCCCAACCTCATCACCCATGTGTCTAGCCATGCAGATAGTTTTGTTTTTATATGTCCAGGCTTTAAGATATCTGTCTCCAGGATTTCTGCCTCCATGTCAGTAAACTGAGGTGAAATTAGTTTGTGGTGTACAATAAAAACGTAGTTATAGAAATTTGCCAGTAGTGTATATTTCATTGAAACAATGTCCTGGTCTACATTCAAGTAAAGGTAAGTTAGAACAAATATTGGGTGAACCATTCATTTAAATGGTGACATTTGCTGCGGACACTTTGAATTCCAAAGTGAGATCCATGGGTCTACACAAATAAGGGCATGCTTCCCAAGGGGTCGTAGACTATATCCAGACCTCGGTACTCCTCTGCTTGGAGCCTCTGATCTCTCTCTTACTCTTCAGAGGCTGCCTTTCTCCTTTATGGGAGTCCTGTCTCTTTGGTTGCCCCTGTTTTGTTTCTCTGACCCCCTCAGGTTCCCTTATCCTGCCAAAGTTTACAGCACAGGTCCATTCAGGCTTGTGACCCACCACCAGGTCCAGAGTGGGCAGGGAGGTGGTGCTGGTCACATCCCTGAAGCCTAAAGAGGATGTGAGAGAAGGGCTGTCTGGAGGGAAGGTCTCATATCCCCTCCTCATACCTGGACAACGTCCCCAGGATGCACTCTCCCTCAGCCTCACCGCCTGCCGGATCTTCTTCCAGCCCAAGTGGTTGAGCTCCAGCAGGTTGAGCAGGATACAAAAAACACCCACACAGAACATGAAGATCAGGAAGATGGTCTTCTCCGTGGGCCTGGATACGTAGCAGTCCACGGGCTGGCTGCAGGGGGCTGAGGTACAAAGGAAATGCACTGGCACCTGGAAGCCAAACAACTTCCACTGGGCGAGGACAAAGCCCACCTCCAGAACAGCCCGTAAACACACATGGAAGACATAACATTTAGACAGAACCCCTCCAGAGACCACGTGACCGTCTGCAGTCCCCTCCCTGAAGGTGCATGCTCTGGCGTGACTCAAGGACACCATGTTGTTAGGGTCTCCCCTCTGGAGGTTCTGGGCAGTGATGCCCTCCAGCACATCTGCCAGGCTATGGCCTAGATGCTTATGGGAGTGGATGGAGCAGCTGTCTGAGTCGCAGCTCCGATCATACATCTCCTGTCCACCGCCTTGCCCTACATCTGGGCCTTCCTGCCCTGGGATATCCCTTACTCCTTGCCCCTGCCTCTTGGTGGTGTTGTGGGGCAGCTTGGACAGGTTGTGCCATGTATAGATGATGAAGCAGAGGGAAGGTGTGGAGACACTGATGATGTGGAAGACCCAGAAGCGAGGTTGTGAAATGGGTGCAAACGCATCATAGCAGACGGTGGAGCACCCTGGCTGCAGCGTGTTGCACACAAACATCTCTTGCTCATCGGTGTACACGTCCTCAGTCGCCACGGCGACGATAAGCAGCCGGAAGATGACCATGACAGTGAGCCACAGGCGACCGATCATCGTGGAGTGCTGGTGAACAGCATCCAGGAGGCGTTTGAGCAGGGTCCACTCCGTCATGGTGGCTTGTGGCTGCAGGCTGTCTCGAGGAGGGACGAGCTGCCTGGAGAAGAGCAGTCTGCTTTGGACTGGTCCACCTCTCCTCCTCCTGAACTCCTACCCTGTTGGACTTGCTGACATCTTAAACCATCCTGCAGAAGACCCAGTCTGGGCTATCCCATCTAATCTACACCACGCTCTGTTCTTGAGTTTTCCCCCCAATTCTAGAAACTCTTACTTCTCATTTCTTAGTCATTCTTCTAAAATCAGAGTGCCTACCCTCCCTAGTACAGCAGACTTCCTCTCTGCCTGAGAGTTCACCAGCACTGCCTGGCTGCCTTGAGAGCAGTGGAGCCACTGCAAGAGAGAGAGACACCCCATCTTTCCTAGATAAGGATGTCCACTTGACATGAGTCACTTGGCACACTCACTTCTCTCTTGTCTTTTAGGATCCATTTTAAAACTGAGAGACATCACCCTTCCTCTTCTGAAGGAGCTGCTGATAGTGCTGACTGATAGAGCATTCTCCACGGATTAGTCCTCTGAAAGCTAATGGACTCTTCCTTCAATGGGGAGGCATATTTTAAATGATCAGTACAGAAGAGCATGCTCACTGTAAGATAGTGGACACACACTGGATGCTGTTAAATACAAAAAGACAGATGTTTGTGTCAGGATACATGACATGAGAAAAATAATGAAGACACAAGGTTGGACTGGTGAAAACGAGGCTTCCCAGAGCTGTCTGGTGTCGGCTGAGGTTGTCTGTTCCAGGGCTTGTTTTGACTGCTCTTCTCCAGCCACTTGCCGATCCTCTTATCTGTGTTTTAAAAAAAGACCCTTGAAAGGTCTGCTAGCATTGAATCGGTGTGTCCCCCAGATAAAACACTCAGTGACCCCTTTCCTTACTTCAAACAGTCCTGGCAAGCCCTGTCTGAGTCTGGCTCAGAGCTCTGCCCACTTTCTATTTATGACATGAACAGAAACATTTGGTGCAGCATTATATAAAACGTAATTGAACTCACATGTTATACTTTATATTCTGAAGGCCTTGGTATGCGTTGAATGAAGTGCTGGTTCAATCATCGTGTGAAACTGCCTTTTTGATAGCGGATTGGCCAGGTGTTCTGTTATTTCTCTTGTGCACATATGAGTGCAACACCACAGTTACCTCTACAGAGAGACTGTCTAAAAGCTCATTTGTATGATTCTTTGACACACAAAAGGGTGGGCAGAAATTTTGTACATTGTACCTACATAACATTTGTAGGGACGCTTTTTGTCAAATGCAAACATACACATGAACAATGTACAAAACATTTGCTTGATTCAATGTATTTTATCGATGTCAATAGTCCAAAATCAGTACTCACAACATTAGCTAGTCAAAATAAATATGTTACAAAGTAAATTAAATTCACCAATAGATAAATGTGCTACTGTTTTGACCAGTCTGCTGTACGCCATTTAAGACATAACTTGACATAGAGTCACAATTTAATACTGATGCCTCTATATGACCTACATAAACAAACAAGACCATCAGAGAGAAGACTGGATATTTCTATATAGTTATATATACAATATATACACACACACACACACACATATATATATATATATACACGCACACACATATATTATATATATACATATATTTGTTTGTGCATGTAAATGGTCTGAAAGGTCACAAAGCCCGAATCCACACCAAAGAGGGTTACTCTCTGCCCCAGAAAACCTGCTTCTGCCAAAAGGGTCCAACTGCAGCACGTAGACTTCCATCCTCAGGCCCCTTAGAACTCTCTCAGACCCCTCTCATGCAGGTATTTTCACCTCCCTGATGGTTGGAAGACTTTAGGACTTGCCAGGACATATAGTTAACTGAATATTATTTTAAAAAACATATTACCAGAATATGGCTGGTGACTTAATTTACTTGTACTTAATGTACTTAATTCAGTACATGGGGTGCTAGCTCTAATAGGTGAGCTATAAGGGGCCCCACAATTAAATCATTTTATCCCAGTTCTAGTTAACAGAGTTATTTGGCTCAATTGGTGGAATGCTATATGAATAAACCTGATTTGACTAATATCCGCGCCCACATTTTTTCTAAATTATGTTCAGCCTTAAGATCAAGCAATCACCAACATCTGGCACAGGCGAGTGAGTATAAAAGCAGAATGGGGCAGGTGTTAGGTCTTTTGTTCAGCAGAAAATACGCGTCAGCAAGCAATCAAATAGTGATGGATCCTTGGAAAGTGAAAGGAATTCTAGACTTAACGCTGAAAAACCTCCTAACTTCAAAAACACAAAAATCTGCGTTGTCTTCTGAAACGAAGGGCAGAGAGTTACCGTTTAAAAAGTAAAGCAAAGCACACAGCAGCACTGTATCCACTGCATTATTGAGTTTTTAAATATAATTTCAAATATTTATGCAATGTTGATGATTCTAGTACGAGTGCCATAGAAAGCATGCTGAGCAGCAGCATCATCTTGCAAAGGTTGTTCAACCTTCACAAGAGGCAAAGTCTTGGAGTTTCATACCAGTGCTACTGGGGCTCACTGTAGAGAAGAAAAGCCTTAGCATGCAATCCTTTCCAATACTAATCTGGTATGAAAGCATCACAAAATGCGTGAGTGCATTATTGCTCCATATCTCTGTGGGTCTCATTTGTTTTACTTTATGTTGTGTGAAAGGTCCTCTATAAAAGGACGAAAACTCAGTATAAACCCATAGAGGTGAATGATCCCATTAAATGTAACGTTGTAATGTTGGCTGGCGATTAAAACACCCGACTGCCAGAGAATTCTCATTCTTTTCACCAGTTCATCACTTCTATTCCCGTACTGAGTACTTCTTCCTTCTTAGGAGAGATGGTAATGGTAAATTGACCTGTAGGCTACTTGTATAGGCCTAGTAGCGCTTCTCTAGTCTTCCCACCACTCAAAGCACTTTTATACTACGTGCCACATTCACCCTTTAACACACATTCACTCAGCGATGGCAAAGACCTTGCTCAAGGATACTTCGACATGTAGCGGCAAGAGCCGGGGATTGAACCAACAACTTTGTGATTAGTGGACGACCAGCTCTTCCTCTGAGCTACAGCCGTGGCATCCATCCCACTTTGGACGGAGCGGCTGTCTTATCTAGAAATATGACTATGTTTATTTCTGATCCTAAAACCTGACAGTCCAGAGTTAGGACCAGGAAGCAGAGCTGCTGTCTTACACACTTCTCTGCGCTTTCTTTAGAACAGTCACCCACCCAAAACCCCATAGAGACTGTGTCTGTCCCCTGACCACCTAAATTATTTAAAGAAATAAAAACAAGAAGGAATTAATCATAAAAACCTAATAAAAAAGAAAACTAACTCCTCAGTAGCACAAAATAAAAGAATGAAATATCAGGTCTCTGTCCTCTAAAGCTGTTTTAGTGAATGAATTAATATCAGATTATGATATTGACTTACTTTGTCTTACTGAGACCTGGTTGTGCCATGATGAATATGTTAGCCTAAGTGAACCCCCCCCAGTCATATTAATACTCACATTCCTCGAGGCACCGGCCGAGGAGGTGGAGTAGCATCTCTCATCTCATCTCATCTTCGCTTATCCGGGATCGAGTCGCGGGGGTAGCAAGTCCAGCAGAGGACCCCAAACTTCCCTTGCCCGAACCATCTCAACTGGCTCCTTTCTATGCAAAGGAGAAGCGGCTCTACTCTGAGTCCCTCGTGGATGACCAAGCTTCTCACCCTATCCCTAAGGGAGACGCCGGCCACTGAGTAGCAGCCATATATAATACGAGCCTTTTAATGGACCCTAAACCTAAACTAAGTTATAATTCATTTGAAAGCCTTGTTCTTAGTCTCTCTCACCCAAACTGGAAAACACTGCAGCCAGTTCTATTTGTTATAGTGTACCGCGCTCCTGGACCGTACTCTGATTTTATATCTGAATTCTCAGAGTTTTTATCAAGTTTAGTCCTTAAATCAGATAAAGTAATTATTGTAGGTGATTTTAATATTCATGTGGATGTTGACAATGACAGCCTTAGTAATGCATTTATATCATTAATACTCAATTGGCTTCTGAGTGTAAATAAACCCATCCATTGTTTTAATCACACTCTTGTCCTCTTTCTATCATATGGCATTGATATTGAACATTTAAAAGTCTTCCCACAAGTCAAGTCCAAGCAACCCCAGGTTCTTCTTCAGCAATGTAGCTAGGCTGACAAAGAGTCACCTTGTTTTTCCTTGCCCTTGTCGCCAAGGTCTTGCTCATGGTGGTACTGTTGGGTCTCTGTAAATAATGTTATAAGGAGTTCGGTCTAGACCTGCTCTATTTGAAAAGTGTCCTGAGATAACTTCTGTTATGATTTGGTGCTATACAAATAAAATTGAATTCAATTGAATTAACTAGCAACTCAATTATTTCCAAAATCTCAGATATACTCACTATTAGAAGTCATGCTCCTTCACCTGGAATATTAACCAGTCTTGCAAACCATGCAACAGATGGTGATCTCCTTGCTTGATGACCCTGACTTTGATGATTAAGACAGTGGGCTTCCTTCCTCAAAATAAATGATTCACTGGAAATAACACCATCACTATTTTGGGAAACAGGGAAAGTAGTATTAAGAGGGCCAATTATATCATACTCCACACACAAGATAAAGAAAGACACTGAACAGGAAAGATACTTAGAACGGATAATTTATCCACTGGGTGAGGATTTTGTACACATCACCAATGGCCAATATGGACTAAAGGACTAATATCCCAGCACTTTGCACAGGGGTTATAGGCATTGTTATTCACCATCTTCATTGAACAACTTCATTCATTTTCATATCCAATGCATATTCAAGATCAGCTTGGACTGCACACTGTACCACCTGCAAACAAATTATTTAGTGGAAAAGTTTAATGTAAAAATCAAGAGTGAAAATACACTTATTATATACCTATATAGCATATATTAAAATAAATCTTATATTTGTATAATTCCAC